GGCAGTGCTCGCGTGCCATGCGCGTCACTGCCTGGCAGCGCATGGATCTGGAGCTGCGCAAGAAAATCCAGACGATGGCGCGACTCACCGAACCGCTAGATCTCAAGCGCAACGGCGGCAAGCCGGTGAACAAGGCCTTCTCCTTTGGGGGCAGCACACGCAGCCAGGATCTGGTGCAGATCAAGCTGGCCATACAGGCGCAATCGAAGCGCGTGCAGGCGCAGGAGACGCAGCTCTACAAGGCCACGCAGACCAACTACGATGCGGCGCATGTGCAGACCACGGAGCGTGGCGTCCAGGCGCACGCCACTGATCCGCGCGAGGGCAACAGTGAGTGCTATAAATAAGGAGATCAATAAAATATATACTTACTCCTATTCTATTTTCCAGGCAAGCTGCTCAAGTCCAATTCCCGCGCCTATGTGCCGCAGGCGCAGCGCGCCAGCTCCCAGACAGCCGGCGAAAGGCACAGCCTCAATACGCATCGACGCACACAATCGGAGGCGCCGCCCATTACACAGCGCAAGCCGGTGGCTGTTGTGGAGCCCAAATCGAACGCCTCCAGCAGCAGTCAGACCAAATCTGCAGCACCTGTAGTGCGTGCTCGATATCTGGAGCCACGAAAGCCGCGCGCGGCGAGTGCAGGCAATGGCACTGCGGGTCCCATACGCAGTGCTACCAGCTCCAGTATACCAGCGGCACGCAAGGCTCAGGCCAAGAATCTGCACATCTCTTCCAGCGACAGTTCGCGCAACTCCAGTCCGGCGGCGCTGCGACGGGGCACACGGCTGGGCAACAAGTCGAACAACTTGTCCACAGATAGTCTGGCTAAGAGCGGATCTCGTGAGCGGTATTCATCGGATATGAATGTGGACTCGATGGCGGAGAGCATGAAGAGCTCGGTGATAACCAACAAAACGATCTCACACGAATCGCTGTCGAGCAGCTCCAAATTGGCGCGAGTGCATCAGCTCAATGGGCATGCCACTGCTGCAGCTGGCACCAAGCCCACGGCTCCATTGAGGGGCATACAACGCGGCACAGCGCTGACGAACAAGTCGACGCGCCAGCTCAAGCAGCAACACAACGTGAATGCAACGGGCGCTTCTAATGGTTCCAGTCCCAGTTCCGTGCACACAACCAAGTCGGCAACCAGTCGACTGTCCTCGGTGAGCAGCACGTTGTCTACGCGGGAGATGTTCAAGCAACGCTCAATATCGGTGCCGGCTGGTGGAGATAATCCTACAAAGGGACGACACAGCTTCCTGTCCGCCAAGTCGCGAGAGATTCTTGCCAAACGTGCAGAAAAGAATAAACTGCAGCAGCAGCAGCAGCAACAACAACAGCAGCAGCAACAACAAGAGCAACAGCAGCAACAACAGTTGCGCGCCTCTGCTGGCCCTTTGCGCTCCTCTTCACATTCCGCCGTCAGCAGCATGATGCAGCAGCATAATCTACGCAACAGTTTGCCCTCCAATATACCCACACGACGACCCAATACGCTGCATCTGCGCAAGACAACAAACCAAACAACAACAACAACAACTACCAATGGCCATGCACCATCCGCTCCTGGCTATAAGTCCCACACAAATGGTGTCCTGAATGGCGGCTTTAAGGCTGCACAGGCGGTTAAACAGAAACTGGATTTGCTCATCGATGTGCAGCTGGAGGGCAGCAGCCGCCACAACAACAACAACATCAACAACGGTAGCCAGCGCGTCGAGTCCAAGCTGGAGCGGTCGAGCACATTTTGCAAGGATAGCGCCGATTTGGATTTGAATGTAGCCGAACTTCAGATTGTGGAATAAATCTACAAAACGGTATGAAGAGAGAAAGACGCCGCACTGCGTCAAAGTGTTTGTCATTGAATTCAAATATTCTCTTTTTTTCTCATTGAACAGGTCCATATCAAATATGAACCGAGCGAATCAACCCATACACGTCCCATAAGGCAACTCTAGTCAATAATAGCATGTAGTTGCAGGCGCAGGAAATGTTAAACAATAAATCAATAATATCCACACAGAGAGGGGAGAACAAAAATAATCAAAGAAATATGAAGAACATGTTACTAAAAAGCAAAGATGCACCCACTAACCTTATAATAGTTATATACATAATTACAACAAAAAATTATTGTCGTTAAAAATCTTCCCTTCCCAAAAAAAGAAAATATTTCAAAAGGAAAACATATTTAAATGCTAACTAAAGTAAAGTATTGGCTGGCAGGCGAAGTGGAAGCAATGTCAAAAAGAGATGAAAAGATAATTCGGTGATATTATTTAGTGTGCGCTTGCTGTTTATTATTTTTTAATTTTTTCCTTAATTTAAAAACAAAATTTGTTTGCTGCAATTTGTGTGCTTGAAGTACTCCTCGAAAGTAAAAGAAAAAACTACTAAGATAATATTTATGTGCTTTCGCCATCTGCATTTAAAAGTAAAAATCTCTGTGCTGCAGCTTATAAACAAGTTATATTGTTAACAATGCCCTCTCTCTATCTGTCTATCTCTAGCCCTCCTACTCTTAAATACTGTAAGCATTGCGAATGTTTTATACTGTTCTTTATTTGAATTTTTATATAGAATCGGTCGCGCAACCAAGAAGAATGTATTTTTTCATTTATTTATATTTTTTAATTATTTGATATATATAAATATATATAAAAACAAAAGAGAAACAACAAAAAAAAACAACACAGAAATGTATTTTGTAAGCGAATCGACATTGATATATTGATAATGAAGTGCAAGTTTAATAAAAGTGTGTATTTATTAAAAGTTATATATATAAACAAATATATACATAATTGTTGATGTTTTATTTATAATTGCATAATACTAAGTAATGCACAAAACGTATTTTGAATTGCGCGCGTCATTTTGTGCGTGTGCCAAGCATCAGTGCTTCAAAGTGTCGCATTTTGGACGGCTGGCAACGCTGCATGTGCTATATGATCCAATCAGCTGACTGACGATTGCGTTGTATTGCCTACATTTTTTTCTTTGTTTGTTTTAGTTAATACCTACAAGTACACCTATTTAGATTAGTAACTACGTGGGCGAATTTTGCAGCGAACGCGCCCATTCCGTAAACACATTGCGACAATGTATAACAACGCATTCATTGCTGCAATATTCATCCTCCCAATCGGGATTTATTATTGCCGGCTTATTGCATTGTTCGCGCGTACATTTTTGCACGGTTGCTGCCTCGGTTAATAGCTGAATTTGATCCGTGGGCGGTGGCGGCTGCGCAGCGACCGTCTCGTTTTTAGTTTCTCCTGGCGCTTCCTCCTGGTCGGGCACAGAGTCCGCCGAAAGCGACGACTGTTGCTGCTGTTGTTGCTGCTGCTGCTGCTCGCCCAACTGCTGATTGCGCTGATGTTCGTGCAGCTGTCGCACATATTCACGCTTTTCCACGTCATGCCGCTGTTCGTAGACAGTCTTTTGCTTCTCATCCATAGATTCCCACATATTCAGAGCTATTGCTGTGATCTGCTCCAGCGTGCAGGCAGGATTCTGTTGCTTGATGGCTGTCATGGTGTCTCGAAAGAAGAGCGCATATGGCGCCAGCGGCTTGGCCGGCGGCTGTTGAGATTGTTGCTGCGGCTGTTGCTGATTTGTGGTCATCTGATAACTGCTGGGCGTATCGTAGTCAATAGCCTCCTCCTCGTCGTCGACCAGCGTGGAGTGATCCAGACTGCTTAGCCTGCTAATACGTCGCGACTGTAATGAGGGAGACAAAGAGAAACAAAATAGAAAACGTTTTATAGCAGGTGTTAAACACATATGTATAAATAATTTTTTATTGTGTCGAAAAAAAAACTGCGGTGTATCTTATAGGGAGATGATGGCTCACTAATAATTTCTTCATCTTGGCTGCTGTATTGTAAATCAACTAAATATATGTGAGCTTAATCGCGTCCCAGCTAACAGCTCTCTATATTAGGCAAGACGCAGTGTACGTATATTTGTACATGTGCTTCGCTTGTGCATAACACGTACGGCACTGCTCGACTATGGAGGACGTGAAGTGCCAGAGGGGGACGCAGTCAGCGGTAGACGCAACCTGCTGATTGCATGTGTATGAGTGTGTGTGTGTGTGTCTGTTTGTTTGTATTAGCTTATTGGTGTGCGTGTTGTTTGTTGATAAGCATTTGCGTTGCCTTCTGCTGTTAGCTTGATTGCTGTTGTTGTTTTGTATCGATAACCCTCATGCGCTTACTGATGCCATCATCTAGGGCAAGCATACACACACATTTTCAGACGAGCATACACACACACAGAATCATAAACTATTACGAATCCAAGAGAAGCGCACTGAACGTTTCCAATTGGGCGCTTTTTGGATCTATTATAAAACGATTATCAACCAATATACAGTTGCGAGCACCTTCATTAATCCAATTGCTCAGCCGGAAAAACATACGATCCACCAAAAATCAGTTGAAAATATTCATTTAACTTTTGTGTGTATTCCAATACGTTAGCATCTGCTGGCCGGTGAGGTTGGCAGCAATCTTAAATGATTTCATTCAGAAAAAGAACACGTTTACATACAATACTTCAGTCGAACTATCCCTAAAAGCAAACCACGCACTGATTATATACAATATTATTGTTGGAGAGACTACACGGCGCATCGCTCTCAGCTCTTCCACGCTTAAGAACTTACAGCATTTGGGTGTTGTGTCTGCTCCGGGGGCGTTTCGTTCATCTCGAACATTTCGTCGCCAAATGAGGGTGTGTGGAATTTATTCATAGCTATAGTAATTTATACAATTCGTTTTTATATACAAATAAATAAACAAATCAATTTATATGCCCAGCGTGGACTTTTGCAGTGTTTTGTAAGTGTTGGGCAATGACAGCAGTTCGCTTTTGCCAGCACTGAATCATTATGACTAAGTGTGACCAACAATTCGAAGGAGAATAAATACTAAAAACGTACCATAGCTGTTTTACAGCACTGCTACTGTGTGAACACTTTACAGCATTGAAACAAAGACGTTAAAACGAGTAGAGTAGGCTTTCATTTTAGCTTACACATTAGTTAGTTTTAATAGTTTATTTATTATTTATTTTTGGAAATTAATTTTGGAATATTATAATAATAGGGCGATATGTCTGTTTATGCTAAATTCAAAATTGATTCAGTATTAGCGTTTGCAAAATCGCGTTTTCAACGTTTTAGTACAAGAAAATCGAATGATGGCAGATCAAAAGAGGAAGGTACTAGGACAGTGCACGATCCAAATCAGAAGATAAACATTGATCCTTACAAGTTGTTCAAAGATAAAGTGAATCAACAGTATTTTGTTAATGATGTAGATGCGCATTACATGGAATGTCTCTTCTCAAAATGGGTTCAAAGTCCGACTTCCGTACATAAGGTAAATTGAAATTTAATGAATGATGTGATGTGATTTTTTAAAATATCGAATTTTTTTATCAGTCGTGGCAACAGTACTTTACTGATGTTCTGCAAAGTAAAAATGTGGGAAATATAGAGATTCTGCCGACTAGGCAAAAATCAACTGAAAAACCTAATGATGGCTCTAGCAAGAAAAAATACCGTTCTCGCAAAACTGAAGATGAGGAGGAGGAATCAGATGACTATAGTGAAAAGAAAAGAAAGCAGCTTAAAACAATTCGAAGAAAGCCGCAAGATAACGAAAGAAGGGAATTTGATGATTATGGTGAAATGATGACGCCGTTTTCCAAGCCGCAGGGAGGATTCATGTTCCCAAACACAGTCGATAGAATGAAAACCGTTAGACATAACAAGGAATCAGATGATTATACCGAAGTGATGACACCGTTTGCCAAACTAAAGGGAAGAGCCATGCAGCCAAAAGAAGTAAATCGAATGAATAAAGTTAGGCATAGCGGGGAATCAGATGATTACAGTGATATGATGACGCCGTTTTCCAAGCTAAAGGGAAGAGCCATGCCGCCAAAACCTGAGAGTCGAATGAAAAAAAATAGCCATTGCAAGGAATCGAAGGGTGATGAAGAAATAATGAAGCCGTCTTTGGACCCAAGCAGACGAGTCATGAAACCAAAACCAGCTGAGAAGATAAACCAGAAACCTAGAGAAAAGCAAGACAAACATCCAAAGACCACACAAGAGCCACGATATGAAAACCTATTCGATTCCATGGCCACAGGCAAGCAGCCTCACAATGAAAACTATGTGGTTGGGCATATAATCCTGAGTCCCTCCATGGAGGATATCGCTGGGAACAGCCATTCGAAACAGGAAACGGAACAGAAACCACTTCACAGCGATAACACATCAAAGACCACTATGAACAAGCAGCAGGTGACTAGCTCCAAGGTAGAGACGGCCAAAACGGTGACGCCGAACAAAAAGAGAATAGATTTCAGGAAATCATTGGAGCAGATCAAACAGCAGAAGGCCGTACGACGTGTTAGGGCAGCTTTAAAACACAGACCCTTCCGAGCGAAACGTGAATTCATTAAATCGCAGATGGAGCGCATTGCTAGAATGAAGAAAAGTAATCAACCCAAAGGCGACATGAAGCCCAAGTGCCGAAAGTAGAAAGAACATGGAAGTACATTCGATGCTTTACCAGTTTACAATATCCAAATTCAGATAGATATATAGTTATGTATATACATTTGGAAAGTTTGACAAACATGGAAATCATTAAAATGTACATCCTGTAAAACAGAGTAGCAGAAAATAAAACATAAAATTATATTGATATATATATTTATATATATTTAAAAATATATAAATATATATATTATGTAAACACAGAACTAGTTGCTTCAAAATTCATGTAATAGTCAAAATTGCAGCTCAGGCTATAAATTAGTTTTTGGCAGATATTGGCGATGTATCTGAAGCCTGGCCGCTTGGGACCCGCAATAGTAATGAAGAGTTTAACAACCATCGATATTACCCGACGATCGCTGCAAATTACCAAAGCTCTCAGCGCTAGAAAGGATAGATCGTCCAATCTTAAAGTGGACAGCTTTGCCAACGGCAGCAATGCCAGCTATATTGAGCGACTGTATCGCAAATGGGCCAAGGATCCAAATTCAGTGGATGAGGTGAAATTGCTTAATATTTGTCGTTGTGGTGTTTTGAATTCTGATCTTATATTCGCCGACATAGAGCTGGCACAATTATTTCACGGGCAAGCGACGCACGATTAAGCAGGATAGACAGCTGAAGACCAAGCACCGGAAATGGGAGCCCGCAGCAGCTGGAACGGGAGGCTCGACTGCAACGCCTGCTCCGGCAGCCGACTGGAAGTACATCGATGATCACCTGGTGGTGCAGGCCATCATCCGGGCGTATCAAACACGTGGCCACCTAGCTGCTGATCTCGATCCATTGGGCATTGTCGGACCCACGGGCCATACACCATCCACCGAAGACAGGAAGCTGCAGGCAACCAAGGCGGTGCTGCGACAGCACTACGCTTATGCATTCAGTGAGCTATAAAACACACTAATGACAATTTCAATTGACAATTGATAGATAAACCAATTCAATCCTTCAGACGACTTAAATGCCCTTTTTAAGCTGCCAACGACTACGTTAATTGGTGGCGACGAACAGTTCCTCCCGCTTAGGTAAGAGGAGAGCATTGGATGAGGATCAGTTGCTCTAACTTTCTCATCCGCAGAGAAATTTTAGATCGTTTGGAGCGTGCGTATTGTGGCCATATCGGCGTGGAATATATGATGATAACATCAATTCTGAAAAGCACCTGGATACGCCAGCACTTTGAGGTGCCTGGCGCTATCAATTTCAGTGCGGAGGAGAAGAAACTTATACTTGAGCGACTGACACGTTCGTCGGGCTTTGAGAATTTTTTGGCCAAGAAATACTCGTCGGAGAAACGCTTTGGGCTCGAGGGCTGCGACATAATGATACCCATCATGAAGGAGATCATCGATCAATCGAGCAAATTGGGCGTCGAGTCGGTGCACATTGGCATGGCGCATCGTGGTCGTCTGAATGTGCTGGCCAATGTTTGTCGCAAGCCATTGGAAGAGATACTGTCGCAGTTCAATAGCATTAAGGCCACAGACGCGGGCTCCGGTGATGTCAAATATCATTTGGGATTATTCACAAAGCGTTACAATCGGCAATCGAAGAAGAATGTGCGCATCACAGTTGTGGCCAACCCATCCCATCTAGAGTTCGTCAATCCTGTTGTGCTCGGCAAGGCACGGGCAGAGATGTTCATGCGCGGCGACTATCAGGGCAACAAAGTGCTGCCCGTGTTGATACATGGAGACGCCTCGTTCTGTGGCCAAGGTGTTGTCTACGAGTCCATCCACCTGACGGATCTGCCTGCATATACCACCTATGGCACGATTCATGTGGTCGCCAACAATCAGGTGGGCTTCACCACAGATCCACGATTCTCACGCTCCTCCCGCTACTGCACAGATGTGGCGCGAGTCGTGAACGCGCCCATCTTCCATGTGAACGCCGACGATCCGGAGGCGTGTGTGCATTGTGCCCGCGTTGCAGCCAAATGGCGTGCGAAATACCACAGGGATGTTGTCATCGATATCGTTGGCTATCGCCGCAATGGCCACAACGAAGCGGACGAGCCGGCCTTCACCCAGCCGCTGATGTACCAGCGCATACGCAAGCTGAAACCCTGCACAGTTAAGTATGCCGAGAAACTGGTCCACGACGGGGTCATCAAAATGGAGGAGTATACGGAGATGACCGCGAAATACGAGAAGATATGCAACGAAGCCTTTGAAAAGTCGCAGAAAATCAAAACATTTAAGGTGAGTTAAACATTGGAATGCAGCAATGATATATGGTAAATATCCACTTATAGAACTCCCACTGGATCGATTCGCCCTGGTCGGGCTACTTCCAAGGTCGTAATCGCCTCAAGCTGTGTCCAACTGGTGTGAATCTCAAGATTCTAATGCACATTGGCAATAAGTTTGCCTCGCCGCCGCCCACCGAGAATAAGTTTACATTGCACAAGTAAGTAGATATGTATATATATACTATATCTATATATTCATCATCTATATCATATTTTCCCTTGACAGAGGAATTATGCGTATTTTGGGCATACGCAAGAAAATGGTGGAGGATAAAATAGCGGATTGGTCATTGGGTGAGGCCTTTGCCATTGGCACTTTGGTCAAGGATGGCATACATGTCCGCATATCTGGGCAGGATGTGGAGCGCGGCACGTTCTCGCATCGACATCATGTGCTGCACGATCAGACTAAGGACAAAGTCAGATACAATTCACTGCAGCATCTCTATCCTGATCAGGCGCCATATGATGTATGCAACAGTTCGTTGTCCGAGTGCGCCGTCATGGGATTCGATCTGGGCTATTCGATGGCTAATCCCAATACGCTGGTCATCTGGGAGGCGCAATTTGGTGATTTTGCCAATACGGCCCAAGCGATCATCGATCAGTTTGTGGCCAGCGGCGAGACCAAATGGGTACGACAGTCTGGTCTAGTTTTATTCCTACCGCACAGCATGGAGGGCATGGGTCCAGAGCACTCATCTGGCCGCATTGAACGTTTCCTACAGTTGAGCAACGATGATCCCGATTGTTTTCCGGTTATGTGTGATTCCGACTATGTTGCCCGCCAGCTGCTCAACTGCAATTGGATTGTGACCAACTTGACGACGCCGGCGAATCTCTTTCACGCCTTGCGCCGACAGGTGGGCATGTCATTTCGTAAGCCCATGATCAATTTCTCGCCCAAATCTCTGCTGCGCCATCCGTTGGCACGTAGTCCGTTCCGCGACTTCAACGAGTGCAGCTCCTTCCAGCGGATCATACCCGACAAGGGCAAGGCATCCCACAATCCCGAGTGTGTCGAACAGCTGATCCTATGCAGCGGCAAGGTATATTATGATCTGGTCAAGGAGCGTGACGATCACGACCAGGAGGCGACCACTGCCATAGTCCGTGTAGAGCAGGTGAGTTGACTCTTTATTCATAGGTTGCACCACTTTAGTTTATTCCATTTCCATTCACAGATCTGTCCCTTTCCATACGATTTGATCTACAAACAACTTGAGCTATATCCAAAAGCGGATCTTTTCTGGGTACAGGAGGAGCATAAGAATCAGGGCGCCTGGACCTATGTCCAGCCGCGCTTAGATACCGTGCTTATCGAGCTGAAAGCCAATGAGTAAGTGTTTTTTTCCTTTATTGTATTTTTTTTGTTGCTGCTTCTATTTCACTTATCTAACAACTAGCAATTGGCAATTTCTTTGCGCTAAATGCCAAGGCGCAATGCCAAAGGCCTTGGTCTACTGCCTAATGATTCAGGTGCGACGCGCCTTCAAAATGTCAATTGATTATCATTTGCTCGTCGCCCGTCGCTCGTCGCTCGGTGATCAACGATCGTTGATCGTCGCTCGTCGTTTTTCTCGGTGACGCTAGCCATGATTCAAAATGGCGTTGGGCGACATGACGCCATTATATCGAGAAACGTCTTCGTCTTGGTTGACATTAAAATCTAGCTAGTGGCTGATTGCTTTCACATTAATCGATCTTCGAACAAAAACAAACCAAAAACCGAAACGTGTGCCAAACAACGTGCGACGTGAAAAAAAAAGCATTTGCGGTGCGGGAAATTAGACTATGGTCATACCCTGTAAAGGAAGTGTCATTTATGTAGATTTGCTGGTAGGCTTAATATTTTAATTTTTATCCTTAGTAAATTATTCCATAACTTTATAATTGTCATTCAAATTCTATACATATTACCATTTAATACATACCTGAAACATTTGTCAAGTATTTAAGGGGTATATCGAGGTATAGCTTAAGGTTTTCAGCTGTTCTTATAAAATGTCAATGTCTTATAAATATCAGTGTGTATTCCCTTATGCCTCAGTCATACTGCCTCACACCCATATACATCTTTTGTATTACCATTTACAGGGTATCTATTAAAAAATAGCACTTGAAGGCTGATCTCACTCAACTTGCTGTTAGGAGATTTATAGGGAATGCGCGCATTTGGTAAACATTTCAATATATTTCATGTCAAATACATGTTTGGCCTTTTTCTTTCCAAATGAGCTCTTGATAGATATATATACATATATATTCTAATATCTATATTTATGTATATATACTTACTTATATATAACTTGTGACCTTCTGTAAGTTCATATGTTGTTGACAGCACGTGTCCGTTTGCTTAGGCCGTGTGCGCTGAGTAAGCTCTAGAAAAATGTTGTTTTGTGTCTTGTGTGTCTTCTGTTTGATTGCGATAAATTGCAGCCCGTTCGCTTTCTGAAGGCTCCAATAATTATTTTCAATTTTGTATTTGGCTTTTTGCGTTGTTAGTAATTAGCCTGGCGTCCACAGTCCCCGACACCGGCCTCGGCTCTTTTTGTCTCTATGCACTTTGAACAAATTGCGAGACAGCCAGCTCGCGCTGTATTGCTTTAGCTATGGCTATGGCTATGGCTATGTCTGTGACTCTGCTTGTGTGCAATTCTGTGTGGCTGTGGATGTCGATGTCCATGTCGCTGTCGCATGAGAAACTAGCGCAAGGAACTTGGCACAGTTTTTAGTCGGCGTTTGATACTAAACGGCAACCGCCTGCAGCCGCTCCCTCGCCCTGTTTTCTATTGAATTTAAGCATTTGCTTTTCGCGAAATCTACATAAAATTTAATGTAGCGACATGTAGATATATCTATATATGTGATATGTGTTAAAGTGTATGTGTGTGTGTGTGTGTGTGTGTGTATGGCTATCTATGCGCGGCTCCTGCTAAGAGCAGAGCCAAGTGGTTCGCTAAATTTGTGCGCTGATTTATGGAAATATTTTGTGGTCTGCAAGGCTTGTTTCCCTAAACAAAAAAACAAAAAATAATAATAATGTTCTATCTAAACTTGTTTTTCTTTCAAGTGAAATTCAGAATTTTATATAAAATTTATAGAACATAAGTTTTTTTTTTAGTTTTTATTTTTAAATGAAGAGAGAGAGAGAGAGAGAGAGAGAGAGAGAAAGAAAGATCCATAAATTTAGGACTAGGGCATTTGCCACTTAAGAGCGCTCTCTGCCTTTCTCTCTCTCGCCCTCCTCGCTTCTCCCTCATTTAAACAATTGAAATTCCTGCTCGATTGCGAAAATATTGAAATTCCCATAAATTTCAATCTAAAAATTTATATTTTGTTTATCTCAACATCTATATAAAATATTTATGGATTGGGGAATTTCCTCAGCTTGCAGACGATTCGATCTAGATATGTTTTTCAATGAGCATTAAATTGTGCATGTCTCTGTTTGTAATTAATTCATGCAGCAGACAAAATATATAGCGAAACTATGAGGGTAGCTTAAAGAAATGACAAATGCACAATATTATGTATATGTAATATATAAAATCATGAACAATTTTTGTATGCATTTGTTATATTTAGATATTTATATAATATCAAGAAACTTTTGTTTTGTTTTATTTTTCCCTTTATACCTTTCCATAAAATTCTATAACTGCTCTTGCCACCCTCGTTTATATTCTTAATCACATTGAGTCGTGTTGCCAGCCACAAAAATTGAATGAAAAGCGTCGCACACAAAGGCGCTCTGCTAAATCCCAGGAATGTAGCATATTTGCTAGACTATATCATATACATTGCCGAAATATATACATAAAAATAAATATATATACATGTATATGTATACATTATATATACATATAGATGTGTAAATCGTTTCATGTTTGTATATTTCTTTGTTGTTGTCGCGTTTGTGCTCTTGTTTAAAAGGCAAGGCAATAATTTTGAGGGATTTCTCTACCAAACGCCTTGGCAATCAATTATGAGAAATGCTACCTCTAACAGTCCTCCCGCCAGCAGCCATCGGCCAACCCATGCCAACCCCAAGGCAAATATGTTTAGCTCTTGTTTTTCTCTTGATGTCTCGACGCGTTTGTTTTTGCTTGCATTACGCCAAAGTTTTATTAATGACACGCATTTTTCTGGCACATCTCAGGGATACGAATGTCAGCGTTGATGGAGTGGGCGAGCGTCTTAATGCCCGATCTCGGAGAGTGTATGTCTATATAGCTAAGCACTAGGCAAACGAGATACATAGCCTAGGCCTATTTATAATACAGGGATGGCAAGCTAAATACCCCAAAGAGGGGCTGCAGATACAGGTCAAAGTTCGTCCGTTTGGTAGGTCTGTGGACTCTGTTTATTTTGATAATATTCATTCATATATGAATGGTGATATATGCGTATATATCCATATACAAAACAAATCTATAAATAGCTTATTTAAGGCACACAAAAAAAAAAACACACACAACTTTGAAATAAACAAATTCATAAAAATTTTTAATGACTAATTGAGCTAAAAATTGTTGTTGCTGTTGTTGTTGATGATGTAAAGAATCCGAAATGCGCATAGTTCAGATATTTTGCTTCTCTTTATTAAACATTAAATCTTTTGGTTTTTGCTTAAAATGTAAACTAAACGTGTAAAAACAAAAAGGCAACGTGAAATTTTATAACAAATTCGTTATCTTGGAATAATTTACGTATACATATAGAAAATAGTTAGAACTAACACTAGGATAGCTAAGCTACAGATACATCATTTATTGTATATTTACATAGATTTAAACTAGAGAGTGTGAGAGTGTGTGACAAAAGACTATAACATAACTGAATGTCGTACTTGAGATCCTTTAAAAAATCCATGTGAATTTCTTAATGGAAGGAAGCGGCTGCCAAGGGCGACGATCACATTTGGGTAACACTTACATAGCTGGCCAACTGGTGGATGAAGTTGGCTGATTGCCTTCGGATCTGGCTTAGACCATATTCCATATGCTGTAGCTGCGCGCACGTCGCTCCTCCTCGACCACCTGTTCGTAGTCGATCTCCAGATACTCCTTGCCCACAAATTTCACCTTGCGTCCGGTGTACTTCTTGATATAGCTGATATGGGCTGCCACCTCCTTGCCCTCGATCTCGAGCTTATACGAAATGCTGGTGATGCGCTCCAAGACTCGGCCACGCTTCCAGCGCACCTGGGTCTTGCGATATCGCTCCGCATACAGCACCAGATCCCCAATCTTGTATTCACGCACATGCAGGCAGGACTTGAGCTTCGCGGGCTCTGGCTTTGGTTCTGGTTCGGGGTCTGCTTCATCGTCTGTCACGTAGGCAATGGCCTTCTCAATTGTCTCAATCTCAGGCACCTTGGGCTCCTCTGGCTCCTGCTGTATGAAGAAGGTGTCGCCAATGGAGAGACGCCGCTTCTGTCGCTTTATGATCACTTTCTTCTTGACTTGACGCGGCTTTTTGGGCACAGGCGCTGGCTCCACTTCCACCTGCGCTTCCTCAACCGCTTCGGGTTCCGTTTCCGCTGCGATGGCTGTTTCCGTCTCCTTTACATTCTCCTGTTGCTGCTGTGCATCGATTGCTGTTGCTGTTGCCTGCTCCTTGGCTGCCTTTGTCGTCTTCTTGGGCGGCGTTTGCTTATTGATGCGATCCGCTAGATCGCCTATCTTATTCTTATCCTTCAGAATATTGTTGAGCTTGGTGGCCGATTCGTTCGCCTTCTCCTTGCCCTTGTCTATGGAACTTTTCCGCACCAGCTTCTTGAGATGCGTGGTCTTCTTCTTGGCGGAGACCACCAGATCGGATTCATCGTGCGGCTGCTCAACAGTTTCGATCTTAACGGGCTGCACGGGCCCGGCAAGTACTTTCAGCTCCGGCATGGTATCTAGACTGTTGTTCACTTGCGCCTGTGCGTTGTCTTTTGTAGCAGCAGCGATTGCCTGTTGTTGTTGTTGTTCTTGTTGCTCTGATTGCTCTAGTTGCTGTATCTGCTGTTGTTCTTGTTGTTTTTGTTGTTGTTGCTGTGGCGATGACTCTTCGTGCGACACTTCGCTCAATGTCGCTGCTATTTGTGGCGTCGCGGCATCAACGGGGGCGACTTCAATGTCAACGGCGTCGACCACCTGTTGCGGTGTTGCTACTGCAATTGCCGGGCTAATTAATTTCTGATTAATGGGTTCTTTAAACTGGCTTAATGAGCCGCTGATTGCACTTGACACTGGCGTTAAGGTTGTTGCAGTTGCAGTTGCTGTTGTTGTTGCGGTTGTTGCTGCTGCTGCTGCTGTTGTTGCTGCTGGTAGTACCAGCACCGTTTCACCCACCAATTCGGCTAGTTTCAGGCTTTCGCGTCTGCTCGGTTCGTTGGCTGCTGCTTGATTGGCCAAACCATCGATTGGCAATTGTTTTGGCGCCGTCTGCGATGTTGCTGCCGTTAATGTTGTCGCTGCGTTTGCTTCTGCTGCTGTTGCTGCTGTTGCCTCTGCCTCTGGCTTCGTGTCGACGCTTTTGGCAGTTGGTTTTGTTACGCTTTTGGCAGTGTCTGCATTGCTGTTGACCTCTGCGGTTACAAGTTGTTCATTTATTGTTGTCGCCTGTGGCAGCGCTGTCGTCGCCATCGCCGCCGCCCTCTCATCGCTGCCGGAAGCGATTATCGTTAATTTCTGCTTCTTCTTGCGCTTGACAATCGCTTCCGAGTCGGAGGGTCGCCTTTGTATCAGTGCAGCGCCCGGCACAGGCTCGACCTTTATCTTGGATGGCTCCACGGCTGCAATGGACGCACGTCGCGGATTTCGCAGCTTGACAACCGTTTTCTTTTTGGCTGCGGCCTTCTTGGGCAATCCCTCGATTCCTGTTGCTGGCTGCGTGGCTGACTCATCGGGCAATGCGGCTGCTGTCTGTGATGTGGCCTCCACACCCTCCACGGGCTGCTGCTGCGCCGTTGCTGTTAATGTTGCTGCTGTGTCGGCCACTTGGCAACTGTCCTTGGTCGTCTCTTTGGCTGTTTCTTCAAGTCTTTGGCTGTTTCTTTCTGTCTCTATAGGCTTCTCTTCGAGCTCGACCTTGGCTTTGGACTCCCCTTCAATTGGTGCTGCTGCTTTGAGTTGCTCGTTGACTGCTGTTGCTGCTGTGCCTGCAACTGCCTCTTTGATTGCTGTTGCTTCTCTTGCCTTTGGCTTTGACCTGAGTTCGCTTTGCACTTTTGCCAGAAACTCAAGCTTAGCTTGTGTCTTAGATTTTTCATCGGTTTTTGCCTTAGCCTTGCTCTCTGAAGTTGATTCTGCGAGTGTAGGTTGCTCCTCCTTGAATTGGTTTGATTGCTTTACTTGATGTTGCTTCTCAATTGCTTCGACTTGGGTAAATTCATTTGGTTTCTCTGGGTCGCCTTTGATTTGATTTGTGAGTTGATTGTGTTTCCCAGTGGTTTTGTTCTCTTGAGTAGCTTCTGCTGCCCTCAGCTCCTCCTTGGGTTTGCTCTCTGAAACAGCTTCTTTTACTATAACAGCTTCTTCTTTGGCTTGTGACTGCTGTTCAGATTTATTATTTGTAGGCTTTGTCAAATCTTCGTTCGGCTTTGGCTTCTGCTCCTGCACCTGGTGCTTCTCCTTACCCGTGTCCTTATCCTCATCAGCTTCATCGAAATAGCTGCGCCTTCTTACTTTCTTAACAAAACGAAATTGTATGGGTTGCTCTGGCTCCACTTCCGTCGGCGCTACGCTCGCGGCAACAGTTGGTGGTCCGGTCCACTTAACGCCGGCTGCTTCGGCCTCGCTCTCTGTGCTGTACTGCTTCAGCACACCCTTCACCTCGCTTAGTGCACCCGAAATGCGCGCCTTCAACTTGTTCAGTCGCTCAATAACATCTTCCGGCTTCTCCTCCACCGAATCCTGCGATCGCATGCGTCGCTGACGTCGCAGACGCGTGCGCTCCGGCAGAAGAGATTCCACATCAATTGATACATCTTCTCGACTTGTGGAACTGCGTTTGGATTCGCTCAGCAGTGGACGCGAGGTCGAGGCCAATGGCACAGCCGCATCACGTATACGACTCGTGATGGCTGCAACTGTTGCTGTGGATGTTGCTGCTGCTGCTGCTGAGGCCGCTGCTGTTGCTGCTGCTATTGTTGGTGCGCTGTATAGACGACTCGACACAGGTTCTGGCAAGCGAACATTGCTCTTGAGCAGTTCATACTTCATGTCGCTGATTTGGTTGCCGTTGATGTCGCTGCTGCTGCTATTGTTGCTATTATTATTGTTGTCATCCAGCTCTACTGGCTGCTCAATTGGATCGCTATAAATATCAACAACGACGGCGGTTGCTTCACTCTCGTCACTCACTTTCGTCACAGTCATGTCCGCACATTCACCGACCACCACCTGCTCAACCACCGGCTCGCTCCAAAGGTTACCCGTGGCAATCAGCTGCACCAGCTCCAACAATAGATCTATTAAATCGAGATCCCAATCCGGCACTGGGATAACGCTCGCACTCTCGGCTAGCAACGCGCGCACCGTACTCTTTAGCAGTTCTAAACTAGCAGCACCGTTTGGTTTGGTTTGAATTACGTCTGATTGTTGCCGTTGCTGACCATCCACTTGCTCTGACGACGAGTCGCGCGCGTCTGAATGAGTGGAGGCGGTGGCTGCGGCTGTGGCTGTGCCTGTGGCTATGGCTGTTAGCTCCTCAGCTATTGTTTGACTCTGCTCTGCTCGGCTGGCCAAGCATATTGACTGCCGCTCTTTAGTCATATTTAGCTCATTATGAGCTGCTGCCGTCTCTAATTTGCTTTGCTCACATATTTCGCGTTTATTTTTGGCATTACCAGCATTCATGGCGTCGTCGTCGTCGACGTTGCCTTCGTTGTTGTTGTTCTCATTGTTGATGTTGCTGTTGTTCTTGCTGTTGCTGTTGTTGTTGTCGTGTCGCCACCCAAAGGCGTCATTAAAATTTTCCGCCTGTTGATGCTCGATTTCCTTTCGCTCGCCAACGCCTTCAATTTCGACGTTCAAGTTTAATGTTTGCTCGTGAGCGTTGAGTTCATTATCAAATGCCGCCTTATGTACATCATCAACATTATTATCATCGCGATGACCATTGAGATCATCATCATCATTGTCATTGTCAGCATCAACTGTCCGCTGCGAATCCATGTCTATTTTGGTGCTCATATTGTAGCTCGTCTGCGTCACTGTTGTACTTGTTGTTGTTGTTGGTGTTGTCGTTGTTGTTGGTGTGGGCACCACATCCGTCGTTGTTGTTGGCTTTGGCGTTGGCTCGTTGCTCTGATCATTTCCATGCGCAGCATTGGCATTGGCATTTCGATGTTTCTTACACTCTGGCTGATTATTGGGAAAGCTGATAAATTGTTTTTTAATTGTGGGAAATTCGTTTAGCGCGAATCGCGTTGTCGCCACGGTGGGTCTGCTCCCCCACACGCTTATTGATTGAGTTGAATAGTTGAAATTCCTCTTGGGTAATTGGCAGAGCAGCGGAAATCTTTGTGGCAAAGGCAAGTGAATCACTTGCTCAGGAAATTTAGATATTGCTGTTGTGGTTACAATATTGCTAAAAGATTTATTTTCTACATGTTGCTGCTGAACTGGAAAAGTTGCTGTGGCCTGCGGCAGAGATTGCTCTGCTTGCAGCACCGGAAACTTTCCAGGCGCAGCCATTTTGAAGTTTGCCTGTGGCCGCCATTGTTGTTGCTGTTGTTGTGGCGGCTGATTATGTGAAGAATTGCACTGCAGCGCCCTCTGCAGCGGAAATCGTTGCTCATCAATCGGCACTTCCGGCGTGCAGAAACCATTCACATTTGCTGCTGACAACATGGCTGACTCAGCTCTATGTTTCGACAATATTTGCGAATTATGTTTATAATTAGCTGCTGTCAGCGCCAGTGGCTGCGGCTCCCCTTGCCCTAACTTGTTGAATGACAACGCCCGCGCGTTTTTAACTTGATTGCTCTGTTGTTGACCTATTTTAGAGGCGTTTCAATTTGAATTTTAATTCACAAATTTTCGTTAGTTTTCATCAAAACACGCGCTGCAAATTGTTGCTGCTTTCAACACTAGGTTGCAACCCGAACTAACAAAATGGGGCATCTTTTAGCAACACGCAAATGTCTAGACAAATGCTTTAATTGTTGTAAATGCTAAATCAATGCTGCGCTCTCTATGTACATATAATTGGCAAAAAATTTCTTTGTAAACAAAAACGAATCTTGAATACACTACGAAAACTCTTATACATTAGCAGTTATGTCATATACTACTTGTATTAAAATTAATTTGTACAAAATTACAAAAAATTTAAGCTTGTAAACGCTTAACTTGTATCATATGATATCATCAAGAATATGCCCTAGCAACTGAGTTTCTAATTGCGATAAATTCATTGTGTCTGAAACCGCAATTTATACATACACACAAGTGTACATATATATATAGTAAGCACGTTCGATTATATAGACTATATAAATGTGTCGCCTTGCCAAATTGATTTCAGCCGGCCACAAAAAAGAAAGATAGGTAAAGAGTGAAAATTAAAAAACAACTCGTGCCAAATAGCGCCACAAGACCATTGTTTAAATATATATGTATATATAGCATATATACATACGTACATATATGCTCAAATGTAGCATACGCTTGCCAAATTTGCCAGCAGGCAAAACATAAATAAAGAAGACTACAAAACTGCTTTAATTTCATTCAGATCCCTTTTGAATAATTGAAAATCATTTAATTCACAGCCGCTGTTTCCTTTATCGTGGACGTCAACCAAATTCGGCTTCGTCCACGGGCAACAAGTTACAGCATTTAACCGAGTATAATGATCTTATTACGAGCATATTCGGCGAGCTTACTGAAGAGAATAAATGCCGCATGGAGGAGAAGAAGAAAGCGGCAAAATCAAAAGCGTTGAAAGAAAGTGAAGCTAAATTGGCTAAAGAAAAAATGGCCAAAATGAAAGAAGAGGGTAAAGATCCTAAGGGAGCCGGACCAGCTGGCTCCGCGCCACCGGCTAAGCCGCAACGTAAGCCAACAGATAGCACATCTCCAGGTGAGGGTCCATCGCCAGCAGCGCCAGCAGCGTCAGCATCGCCAGGACGTAAATCTGCTCCGAGCGCACCAACAAACCAACCAAATCAAGCTAGGAAGCAAAATGTTCCGCAAGCGCCAGCGAAACAAGAGAGTCAAACACCTAAAAGAGCTGATACTCCAAATCCGAACAGTAGCAAACAAGAAAATACACCCGCTAGAAAACAACATAGCCCCACCCCTGCCACTGATCCCAACCGAACGAAAACTGAGGAGAAACCCTCTTCAGAAGATCCCAACGATTTTTGGTAGTTTCGAAACCATACGAACAAAATTACAATTTTACTTATTTGTTATTTAAACTAATACAGTTTTGAATTATAGCAACGTTCGTACCTAAAAGTATATTTTCCACCTTCCTGACACACATAATTGTTTTTGTCCTTAACATTGTTTCCAATAGTTCGGATTTTGTTCCATTCGACGCTGAAAATTGGTGTACCAATTTTGTACAACGGAGAAAGGCACAAAGGTTTCAGTCGTGGCAGGTGGAATATCTGGTACGCCCACACAAAAACTGGACGCATAATTGAAAAAGTTCTCCAGCATGCGCTGTCCAAACTGTATATTATCGTTGGCGGTAGACTGTAAACGAGAAATGTGTGTAAATATTTAATATGCATACTACTTAAACTAGAAATCTGTGCCACACTTCTTGTCCGTTTCATACCAGCCTTAGATGCTTTCTATATCCATCTAATCTTACACGAATTTCTGTCTATACAAATATAAAGGTATATACAGTTTACGGATCTGTTTCATGTATCATATCCATATTACGTTGCGTAATTCCACAGTAGGCAATTGCTCGATCTATGTCATTCAATATATAAACTCCAGTTTAGAATGTCGCGTTTAAGGTATGCAACGGGCAAAAAGCAGTGCATGAATTTTCAGCTAATCAAACTCCACATGTACTTACAACTGCAGGTGTCTGTTGAGCTACCGCCAATTCGGGCTCTATAGAAATGCCAATTTGAGCTATGTGCGAGATCTCCTGAGCACCAAAGACCATGCCATTAGAATATGTCTCCAGTTCTGGGCCTTTTTTCAGTTGCGCTATTTTGAAAATCGCGGAGGGTTTGGTGTTATTGATGTGGCCCAGATATTGCCATGTAGGTGCCGCATTCGCATCTGGCCAACTGAAATAGATTGCTGCTGCGGTGCCAAGTGGCAGGGGCGTGATGCCAGTTAAGAAAATAACAACATAATTTACGTTGTCGATGTCGGGGACGTTTATCAGCAGCTTGTTCTCATCAACTGCTACAAAATCGGTTTGAGGCTGTGCGTGTGAGTAGTGAAAAGATACTGTTTTAGTTTATTTCATTAGCATTTAAGAAGTACTCACCAGTCTACCTGAAATAATCAACCCAAACATTTTCGGCCGGCTTCTTTGTCTTTTCTAGAATAAATAAAACCACTACCATTCGCGGGTCAGCGTGCACAGCCCAAATACGGTTTTAGTATTTTTTTATCGCATGCTTCAGGCGAGCTGGTCATACTGTAGCGTTGTCGAAAAATGCAGTATATCGATATTTTTAGTAGTGCCTATCAGCGTATCAGAATTTAGTGTTTGTTTTTGCGTATAAAAGTTATGGCCGGACTATTATACCTAAGTAAATTGTGTAGTAAAAAGAAAACACTGACCTACACCTTCCACATTACATGCCAGAAACAGATCAGAACAAGACATCCAGCATATGTGGTAAGTACAAATAACAAAACGATAAACCAAATTCAAGGCCATTTGCGGCTAGGTTACGATTTCATAATGATAAAGATTAACAGGCATGATGTGCAGATTATTGGCTATAAATATACAAGAAAAAGAGCAAAGAGGTCAGGCAACAGTATGCGTGTGTGTTGTTTTGGCCCCTTTTCGAAAAATTAGTTGATATTTTATTTTAATGCCTTTACGAACGTACGCACTTGCTTCTTTCGTTGCAGCAAGACTAAAAACAAAAACAAAACCTAAAAAAAAAAAAAAAACAAAAACAAATAAACGGGCGCCAAAACAGCACACACACTCAGTATGGGGCGCACACAGCGGCACAGACAGCGTCGCAATTTACAAACACCAACACCAACATCTACAACACTTGATAATGCTTTGCACGTGCTCTATGGCCAACTTCATGCGCTGGGCTGGCGCAATGAAACTCGTCTATCAGCTTTGACTTTCCCACAAACCGGACGCGGGCTGTGCTCCAAGACTAAAAGTTTCCAGGCAGACGATGAGTTGATACGTCTGCCCGCCAGCTGCCTAATTAGCATAGCCACACTGGAGGCGGATGAAGGATTCAAGCAGCTCTTTAATAGGAATTTGTTTGACAAGGATGCACGCATATCCTTTCAAGCTCTTGTGGCCTGCTATCTAATGTATCAGAGACATCTGTATGAGTGCACAAAGGATTCTCCATGGTCTGCCTATTTGGACACTCTACCCAGCAGCTATACGACTCCCTATTTCTGTGCTATCAACGAGCTGCAGTGCCTGCCCGATGCATTGCTTGAGCGCACAGTGGCGCAAAATCGTCAGATACGCGAGTATTATCAAGTGCTGAAGACTCTACTAGGCTCACAGCATTGCGAGTCCTGTGGCAATCGCTACTGCGAGGACATCTGGGCGTTGGCGGAATACAAAATTGCCTACTTTACTGTCAACACGCGCAGTGTCTACCTTGATGCAAGGCAACTGAAGCAGTCCAACAAGAGTCATTTCCAACCGCTGCTTAATGACAGCTCAAACTTAGCTCTGGCGCCTTTTCTGGATCTATTCAATCATTCTGACAGCGTGCGGACCACAGCGCAGCTCTACAGTAAAAGTCAGGAGTATGTCCTTACTCTGGAAGCCTTCACAAAACCCATACTTAAACCATATGAACAGCTCTACATCAGCTACGGCGCTCTGCCCAATTTGAAGCTAATCACCGAATATGGCTTTTATTTGGAGCACAATGCGCACGATTACTTCGAATTCTCGCTGCAGGACATTGAGCGGCTCATCGCGCACAACAAGGAGCTGGCAGCGCAGAGCTATCATCGCAATATATTTAAGTTCATCAGGGAGCATAATCTAATGGATCAGATGTTTGTGCACATCCAGGATGGCTGCTCGCACAATTTGCGTGTCGTGTTACACCTAATCTTCAAGCAACAGGCGTATTTTCCCAACGTGCTCAATCAAATTGCCTTCGGCGATGTTGAGCAATTCGATAATGTGCAGCCGGAGCTGAGCTACTTGTTGGCTTATAAAGTTAACGAGTATCAGGGATTTGTAAATGCACTGCAGCAGCAGCCACAGCTCACGGAGAGCGGAACTGTTGCACTTGGCTACCTGATAGAATGTCTACGTTACCTACGCGACTTTGAGCAGGCTCATAGTTAAGGCTAACTGAATTTTCTTTTATACAATAAAGTACAATTTTATATATATTTTTGTGAAAAATCTGTCATTTGGCTTAAATTCTTCGTTTTGCCTTGCAGTTATATTCCACTCTCGCCAGATCGAACGATGAATCACAGAATAATAATGCCAAATCGAGCAAGAAGATAACACCATTCACGCCCACGCCGGGCAGCAAACTGCTTGGGGGCGTTTTTGCAAAGAAGACGAAAGGTAGGTGTGGCTGCCACCCCAATTCAGTGTATCACTTGATATGCGAGAGAAGTTTGATTAGTTTGTGAACTTTATTTGAATAAGTAAATAATAAACCATTGTGCTGACTACCCTCGTATAACCACGTAGACGACGTATTTAAGATACCGTCAACGGACAAAGGCTACTAATGTCTGTTTGATTCATTTCATTTAGATGCTTTCTACAGAGCTTTGATGTAGTTGAAACTAAAAAGTCTTACACTTAGGCTAAGCTCTTGCTTGTTCATCTATATTCGATGTTTATATTTTTGACTAACTAATTTTTGTTTTGTTATCTGAGCCAATAAGTTGTTAACAAACACAAAAAAAAAAAAAAATGCACTTCGTTTGTTTGTTTGTCTGTTCGTTTGTTGTATTGGCGCCTGTTTGGATTTAGCTGCAATAAAGTCAATTCGATGCAGTTGCAGCAACAGCATCAGCAGCAGTGCTACAACAACAACAACAACAGCAATCAAGACTATGTCACGTTCATATAGGCAGCGGCGGCAACGATGGCGGCTCAACGCTTGGTAAACTGGATGCACCGGAGGTCACCTCCAAGGATATGCTGCGAGCGATGATGGCGTACATCTGGCCAAAGGAGGATGCGCTCGTACGCAAACGGTAAGTCGGAATGAAATTATATGTACCTTGTATATATAGTCATATATTTAACATCTATCATCGTTTCATCAACAGCGTGGGCATCTCTCTGGGCCTGCTGGCTGGCTCCAAGCTGTTGACAGTTTGTGTTCCATTTCTATTTAAGGGCGCCATAGACACGATGACAACGCTGAACATGGACACAGCGCCGGACGCTGTGTTGTCGGCGGCCACTGCCATGCTATTGGGCTGTAAGTACGCCCACTCCGATTGCTATATGATTTATAAGACTTGACTCCTTGCAGATGGCATTGCCAGAGCTAGTGCGGCGGGCTTCAATGAGCTGCGCAACGCTGTGTTTGCCAAGGTGGCTCATCATTCCATACGCAAAATAGCCACCAATGTGTTTCTGCATCTTCACAATCTGGACTTGGCGTTCCACCTGAACAAGCAGACGGGCGCGTTGTCCAAGACAATTGATCGTGGATCGCGTGGCATTAACTTTGTGCTGTCAGCCATGGTGTTCAATATAGTGCCCACGATCTTTGAGCTGACACTCGTGTCCAGTTTGTTGGGCTTCAAGTACGGCTTAGCTTTCGCTGGCGTCAGCATGGGCTGTGTGGGCATCTACGCTTTGTATACGCTGAGCGTGACGCAATGGCGAACGCGCTTTCGTGTCTACATGAATCAGGCGGAGAACGAGGCTGGCAATAAGGCAGTCGATTCGCTTATCAACTACGAAACTGTTAAGTATTTCAACAACGAAAAGTACGAGGCTGGCTGCTATAACGAGGTGCTTAAGAAATACGAGGCGGCCAGCTTGAAAACCAGCTCCAGTTTGGCTCTTCTCAATTTCGGACAGAATGCGATCTTCAGTAGCGCGCTCAGTTTGATCATGGTGCTGGCAGCCAAGGAGATTGCCCAGGGCAACATGACTGTCGGAGATCTTGTCATGGTGAATGGTCTGCTCTTCCAGCTATCCATACCGCTGGGCTTTCTGGGCAGCGTGTATCGTGAGGTGCGGCAAGCACTGCTCGACATGCAGGCCATGTTTACGCTGATGAATGTAGATAGCCGCATACAGACTGCGCCCAATGCGCAGCCTCTATACGTGGACAATAGCAATGCGTCCATTGAGTTCCAAAATGTGAGCTTCGAGTATGAGCCGGGCAAGGCGATTTTTAAGGATTTGTCGTTCACCATACCCGCCGGCAAGAATGTTGCAATTGTGGGTGGCTCCGGCTCCGGCAAGTCATCTATGGTGCGACTGCTCTTCCGTTTCTTCGAGCCCAACTCAGGTCGCATTTTGATCGGAGGCCAGGATATCAGCGGCGTTGAATTGGACAGCTTGCGCCGAAGCATTGCTGTAGTACCTCAGGACTCGGTGCTATTCCATAATACCATCGAACACAACATACACTATGGCAATCTGAGCAAATCCCACGAAGATGTGCAAAACGCTGCACGCATGGCCGATCTGCATGAATCAATCATGAGTTGGCCAAATCAATATAGGACCCAGGTCGGGGAGCGCGGCCTCAAGCTCTCCGGAGGTGAAAAGCAACGGGTAGCCATTGCGCGAGCTATTCTGAAGAACACGCCCATTCTAATCTTCGATGAGGCTACCAGCAGCCTGGACTCGATTACAGAGCATGTGAGTATCGTCATTATATTTCAGCACAATTACTTTACTTACTTATGGAACCTTGCTATTACAGAACATACTGAAAGCCCTGTCGCGTGCCACCACGGGTCGCACCAGCATTTGCATTGCCCACCGCTTGTCGACGATAAAGGACGCCGATGAAATTCTGGTATTGGAGAATGGACATGTGGGTGAGCGTGGCACACACAAGGAGCTGCTCAGTCAGAATGGCCTCTATGCGCGCCTGTGGGAAACACAAACCCAACAGTTCGATCCCAGTCGCCAGGAACGCGTCTCAGCGGCTGCTGTGTAGTCAAATGTTGACCTGTCTGGTTATTTGTTCTAGTTTTAAGAGTGCGTGTGCTTAGTTACTTGACAAGGCCACAAAATTTATAGTAGACCGTTTGTTGTTAATTTTTAGGCTGAAAGAAATATTGTGTCCGGTTGTAAATACAGTTATACATATACATATACATATACATACATACATATAAACAAAAATAGCGTATGTAAATTAATTGTATACTTCGATGGAGAAGCGTTTCAAAGTGAAAACATTCTCAAGCACCAAGTGCAATGGCTATGGATTGTCTTTTCCGTTCAAGAAATGTTGCAAATTTGAATTTATTAAATTTTTAAGTGCCTGTAACTCAACTAACTGAACTTGAAAGGTCTGCTTTGAGTTAGTTAAACTCTGTAGAACATTTTAACTAACATTTCAATTCCATTCTAAGTTTATAAAACTCTTTCTTATCAGAGGTATAACATTAAACATTTATTATCAGTTTTATCACGCACAAATTTGTGACACTTGGGGACTTAGGCAAGAAAATACATTTGTTGTAGCAAGTGGAATATATGTATGTATAATCTCGACTGTTTCATTCTTAATCTCTCTCTCGTATGGAAATAGGTATGGGCACATCGTATAATAAAAAGAGCAAACAATTGGCCAAATGTGCAAGGAACTGTTGGTAATTGGAGACGCGCTGTTTGAATTCTTGCCACAAGGGCAACAATGGTTTATCTTTAGTCTGACCCACATCATCTATAACAATATCCTGCTCGAGCATTGTCCTATTGACATAGGTGTACAAATAGGAGGCGGGCTTCTGGCCAATGGTGGTCACATAGTGCGTGGCATTGCTCTCCAGGCTGATGCTCTTGCCGGCAGTGAGGAAATACGCCTCGTCATCATTGGCGCTCTTGTAGCGTACATTGCCCTCAAGGATCGTCAGGCTGCAGTTAAACAGAGCCGGTGCAATGAAGTTACTCAGCGTTAGACCCGGAAAATCGGCCACGAATATAACATCCGAATAGTTATTCCAGGCGAGCACCTCGTCTGCAATTGTCTTCAATTTCGGTCGCATATGATTGAGCTCTGTGAGCAGCGGCAGCGACCAGGGCGTGCGCTTGAAGGGCGACCATGGCGCTTTGAGTAGATCCACTCGCGGATCAAAGGTGCGCTGCTGGAAGCGTCCATTCATGGCGCACCAGATGTCAAAGTAGATGGAAATGTTTTTGCTGGTCAGCGGACTATTCTCTGGATTCCTATCCATATCCTCGTGTATGTTCTTCTCAATGCACTTGGCATACTGCACAGCCATGTCGGCATATTTGGTCCAGCGATCGTATTCGGTGAAGGCATAGGGATTGAGATGATGCACCTGCTGATTGTTGTTGTCAACAATCTTAATGGATGTTAACACTGTGTCGTACGAGTGCACCATCATGTCCCAGGAGTAGCCATACAGACCATTCGTCCAGTTGTTGTAGCCCTTGGTAATGAAGTGCGAGTAGGGCAAGAAAAGCTGCAGAGCGCAATAGAAAAGGATCAAACAGCTGCGCAGCTGAGCTCCTAAGCCAGGTGAGGTTTGAGATAGTGCCTTTATCGGCTCCTCTACTGCAGACGAGCCAGGCTTGGATGGGCGCCATAGGCGTCTTGGCCAGTCAAAGCTATAGAAGAGTGGGACCTCCGCCAAGCAAACCCAAGGAAACATGCCTACAAAGCAGAAATATGTATATATAATCAAAATTAGATCAGATAAGACCTTTGCTACTCACCTATAACAAACAGACGCGAGTTCATCAAATGAAAACTGATCATAAATGGAGTCACCAACAATCGCGTCTTCTCGCACGTCATAAAGAACGCTATGGACAAGTCGAAGAAGGCCGTGAACCAATGGATAATCAGCAGATCGATGAGCTCTCCATCTAAAACCTGACGAAAAGGCGCAAAGACCCAATGCTGACTGAGACTCGTCATCGCATAGCCGGAGAGCCACTCGAATGAGAACTTCTTCAGGCCTGCGTACATGTAGAGCACAAAGAACTGAAACTTGATGAGAAAGTAATTCCAATAGGGCACTGCTCGACGCAGCTCTGGATGTAGCCAACTGTCCAAGGAGCTGAAAGATCAAAAAATGAATGTAAGGATTTGTAATTATTATATATATATATATAAACCCACCAATAGCAATTCGCTCTCGTGAACAGCAGCAAGGTGCCCACCAGGCCAAATAGATAGCTGTGATTATTCCACGCCGGCTTGTCCAGCAAAAAGATGTACCAGTAGCACGTCACAAAGGACAAACAGCTGATGCGAAAGCGATAACCCAGCGCAATGCCCATTGCGCCCAGCCACATGGCCAGATAGACGCAGCCCATCAGCGGATAGTCCAGAGCATGTATGCCATTGAACAGAGGAAAGTGACAGTGATGGGGCTCGCCAAAGCGGACGTCCAGCTGTCCGCCGCCTCGCTCCTCGGCGATATCAATCAACATGGCTGCGCCGTAGAGCATTCGGAACACACCCAGAGCAGCGCCATCTACCGGCCGATGCAGCCATTTGGTAAACGTTTGCAAGTTGTCAAAATTGTGTAGATCATGTCCAAAGCAGAGCTTGAAAAACTGAGCCGTTGACGAGGATTTATTGGCGGACAACTTTGGGTTGGACTTGGTCGGCTCATCAGTCACAATTGTGGACTTCGTGGCTTCATCTTCGATGTTGGCTTCTGTTGCATTTGGTGTTGTGGGCTGCTTGCGTTTCGAGTTGGTCATATTGCCTGAATAGAAGGCAGCTTAAAGGAGAAAACTTAATGAGATGGAAAAGGCATCATTTTCATGAGATAAAATGCTTGAAAATTTGTTTAATAATTTACAAAAATATGAAACTGATTTATAGTTATTATAAGCTGTCCTCTTAATACCCATGCACCCATAATATATTGTCTTTGAAAATTAATATTTTTTTGTAGAATTTATTGAAAAAGTTTGACATAAATACATGCATGCATATTGTTTGTATACTAAATATATAATATATGTGTTTTGTTTTATTTCTTTTGCGTAAATATAAATCTACGTTTGCTGTCTTTGCTTTTATATGTTTATGTATGTTATGAAGCACACCTCGGATGCATCCCAACCCCCCATTTTTCCATATTCAAACTTGAACATCCGAAGCTGCGGTCATTGAAAAACTGTTGTTCGTGTTAGCGAAACATTGTGTTTCGCATTCAAAAAATACATCAATTACGAAATATATATATTTATGTATATAATATTCTATTACATCGCTCTCTCTATATATTCTTGACTTGAGTTATTATTGCAACAAATTTTGCCCAGCTGCGCATTCTCTCTGAATGCTCGAACACTTTTGAAAAGATTTCACTATTTGTCACATTTAATTTTTCTTTTCTTGCATATTTAGTTTGGAATATAGTTGAAAATACATATATAATATTGGTTTTGAATAGGTTCGCAAAATTTCTAGAAATTTTTGAGAACAAGCTTTGAAAATGCTTTAAACTACGCATACGAATATAAGTATAGCTGAATATAGTTTTAGGTTTTTACTTCTTGTTATGTTGTTTTAAAAGTTAATGCTTTGGTATTTCTAGTTCAAGACAGGGAAATACAATAAAAATAATATTAATATGAATTTTGAAAATTATATAAAATATTAAATCCATTGTCAAAAAACAAAACATTGTTTTATTTATTTATTTTTTTTAATTAATTATTTTTTTTTTTTTTTTTTTTTGGTGCCTTGCTATTTAAGCTTCAATGTATTTATATATATTTTACTTTTGTTTTTATGTTTCGGCCTTAAGTATTTTTTTTTTTCCTTTTTGGCTTGCCATTAAAATATTATTAGATTTCTTGTTTTTATTTTTTGTTTTCCATTAGATTATTTTTGACGCAACGCTAAAATATTTTAAAATGCATTTTCAAAGATAATTCGTTAAGTATTTTGGTTTTCTTTAATTAAGTGTAAGCTTTGAAAGTTGTTAGACAAAGTCCAAGTCGAGTTGTCCAAAAATGTTTGCATACAATTGTGAGCCAAACCGGCAAAAAACATTATCGAATGAATAACTGTTGTTGTTGTTGTTGCCATACGACCGGCAAGCGACCCCCATCCTCACTCTCTCTCTCCCTCTCGCACTGGCTGTCATTCTCTCTGAGTGCCTAGCGCCACCATATTGCTTAGTGATGCGCAGGCGCGTTCTCATACTCGCTCTGTCTCGCTCTCGCCGGCTGCCGCTCTCGCCTCTCGTTTTATATGCGGTTCTGATTCAACTGAGAGCGTGGCGTGAAGGGGCTAACCATAACACCACTCGGCCAAATAGCCTCGTTGAATAGCTCATTGAAACGATAGTCCGGTATGGATATTTTGAATTTGCAATATGACAATTGCGATAGATTGGCATCGTTCTTCACCAGTTTGGTGCACTTCACCAGATTCTTATTGATTTTCAGCTCCTCCGCAAGGTGCTCGATAATGTCATCCTCGCTGGTGTTTGTCGCAAACTTGCCCACCTGCACCCAACGACCGTAGTCGCAGACGACCTGCAATCGATCCGAGTTGCAATTGTTGCCAACGACAATCAGATTGTTCTGCTGCGGATGTTTTTTGCCATCGAGATTGTTGACGGGCTGATTGCCAAATTGAAAATATTGCTGGTACATGCGTCCCTGGATCTGATTGACGCCGTTGCACACCTTGTTCACCTTCTCCTCGATGGTGTGCAGCTTGGCGGACAGTGCCTTCGACGATTGATTTCTGCACTCATCACAGTTGAACGATATCATCGGATTCTTTTGTATTAAATCGTACATCGCATCGTCAATATTGACGCACGTGCGATGGAACTTCTTCAGGCAGTCATCGGAATTGCAGATGATGATTGCATCCTTCGAGTTGATTGATTTTTTGCATTTTGGGCAATTTTCGGCCATGTTTGCACTTGCTTTTGCTGCTGCTGCTGCTTCTTCTTCTCTCTTTTTTTGCTTTTTACTGTTTGGTTTGAGGAGAACGTCGACAATGTCGAGAAATACACGCACACACTCAACACTCAACACGCACACGAACACATTTACTGTTTGATATACGCTGTCTGTGTGTGTGCACTCGCTAGCCGACTCTGTGTGTCTGTGTGTGTGTATGAGTGTGAGAGAAGTTTGCTAAAATTGTTGTAGAAAATGGGGAAGCGCAATCGAAACTGCGAACCGTCCGCTGCGAAGTTTGCTGTTCAACTGAATGCCGAACCCTTAGAAAAGCTGCGTTGCACTGTGCTCGGACACGATAATTAAGGGTGGTTTTTCTTTGTTGCTTTTTTTTTTTGCTTTCTATATTAATTTATTCTGTTATCGGCCTAAGTCGCTGTGACGCTCATTTGTGCTTTTAACCACTATTTGCTGGCCATATGATTCTCTATTGAGAACCAACTCATGCTACATATATTTATTTATTTATTTTACTCTTCTTTGCTAATGTTTTTCTTTGCTTGTTTTATTACCCAAAGTTGCAACACTGGCAAGTCAGTGGCAGCTCAAAGTGGCCGTACACTTGCCTTGGCCAGTGTTGTAAAGCCGCTAAGCTACTGGAAGCACCGAATGTAACAAATCTGTTGTCAAATTTGGTTCGCAAGTTACAAGCTGCTTGTAAATATTTAATACCCATTTTCAAGAAGTTTCGAGTACTTAAGCTTAAATTTATCATATATAATTATGTATAATAATTTAGCTTATTTTATAAAAATATAAATATGTATATGTAAATATAAATATAGAAATATTTTTTTTAGTAAAGATATTTCAGTCAATCTTAATTGCAATTCAAGCCACAGTGAGCGGTTGCCCTAGGCTTTTGCAAAGTGATAAGAAAGTAGAGTTCAATTATATATACTATAACAAAACTCATAAAATATAACAAGAAATTCATAAATTAAATTAATCTAATAGGAATTTATATGAAAATTTAGAGCAGATAATTTCCTATTTTCTAAGAGCATATCATAAATGTAAATTGTTCCTTGATATATGTATATAGTGAATGGATGGTTCCTAACTAAAAATTGGACTTTCCTATATCAAGTGCATGGATATTTCTAGAAATAAAATGTAAATGCAAATAACTATCTCAAATGATAGAACATAGTGCTCCCTAATATAACAATTGAATATAAATGTAAATATGTATCTTTAGTAGTAGAACATAGCTCAGAAATCATATGTTTTATAAAAGAACTTCATTATTCAATTCAGCTCTGATTTTACAGTGTTTTCACTCCACTTACAATAAATAAAAATCTACTTTTTTGTATACAATTTCGACATTTTAATTAGCTTTAAGACAACAATTTAAATTGCCTAGAAACCCACACAAGCTACCCATTAAATAACCCCACTTAGCTCCGCTCTATTTGTTTATATTGAAACCCCTACACAAACGGTGGCAAAACAAACCCAGACGCACGAATCGTAGCTTCACATTACACGTGTCGTGCAGGTGTCAAATGAAATAAGTGCTCTCACCTGGCTTCAATTTAAGTGGAATACTCCAAAGTTTGAGCAATTACGGCGATCAGTAATGGGGGGTAAACACATGGAAACGAATTAACTTCCGCTAACAATTGCAACTTTTCCGCTTCTGCTTATTTGCTTCTACTTTTCGCAACAGTTTGCGGCTGTTTAACGTGGGCAGGATAACACTGCTATCTGCTGCTCTGCAAATGAGCAACAACAAGGACACTGCGCGAGCAACACGGTCCAGCAACTGAGGCTGCCTGCTCCTAGCTGCGCCTTATTTATACAACTCTAGAGCAGCTGCGGCTGTTGCCGGAGAGTGGGCTGCTCTGGTGGGTGGGGTTGGCTGGATGGCGGCGGCCAAGTGGCGGCACAGGTGGGCGGGGGTGTTGTTTGCGCATGTCCTTGCACATAAAACGCAAGATGAGACAGGCTGGATGGTGGCTGAGCGAAAGACAGAGAGAGAGAAATAGACAGAGAGAGAATATGAGAGTGAGAGATGGGTCTTACGTCCTTCCCCCTTTGTACATAATAATAAACTATATGAGGTACTGGTACAGGATTGCGTGGGTGATGGCCTGACTAAAATGCAAATAGCGTTAACAGGTGTAGCGGCAGCTGCGCCAGCGACTCGTCGACTCGTCGCAGCTGTTTCTGTTTGCCCCGGCTAGCGACGATTCACCTGTAATTGGGTTTCATTAGCGGAGCCGAGGGAACCCATTTCCGTTTCCCTTCTATTTGATTTAAGCCCTTGTTAGCTGGAATTTGCCGCGTGTTCCAGTTTTGGTGTCAACAGATTTTAATCAGGTGTGGCAAGCGTGGTAAACAGCCAACCCATCGCCCACCTGCCTGCGTTCAGCTGATTTAAATATCTCGACTCAGTCTCCCGGTCTCCGCTATATTTGTATTCCGCTTTGTTTTTATTATTGTGCTCGTTGCCAACTACGTCGTATGCTCAATTGGTATTTATGTATGCAATACGCATGGCACGTGGGTTCACCTCGATACAGGATACAAGGATACAAGGATACAAGGATGTAAGCATACAGCATACAGGATCTGCAGAAGGTGTAGTTGCTGCTAAGTGCGTAGTTTCTCTCCATTTACGTTTGCCTAGCTTAATTTAAGCACTAATTCCTATGCTTAACTATTTTTAGCCCTTTGGCAGCTGAAAATTGTATTAATAGTTGTTTTTGTCTGTTGCCATGGCTGTTACTGCTTCTGACGTTTTCTGCCCTGAAGAGTGAGAGCAAACATGAAAATGCTTTTTGGCTGAATGTACAAAACAATTACAAAACAATTCAAAATCGAAACTTTATATTATTCATATCATTGTATTTAGTTTTATGCAAATTTGCATGAATATTCGCCTGGAAGCCAAAAACAAAGCCTGAAATGAATATATTTTTAGCCATTGTATGGAAAGTTTTCAATTGTAAAGTTTTTAGTTTGATTTAGGCTAATACAATAAATGAAAAAAATACTCTGTGATTATTAAAGTAAATATAAATATTAAAGTAGCATAAATTTACTAAAAATAAATTCGTACAATTTGATTTTAAATTAAAAAAAAGAAAATTGTTTTTCTTTTGAGTATACGTTTTTATACTCTTCAGCTCAGTTTATGCTTTATAGTTTCTAAATGAACATAAAATATCATCTCTAAATCAAAGTAAATTTAATCCTGATACTGATTTACTTTGTTCTAAAAACAAGCCGTTACTTTCTAGAACTCCTTGTTTTCAGCACTTTCGACCTTTATCAAGTGCAATGCTTTTGGCATACCTATATAAACTGAGTAACTGTTCAGGCTAAATGCCCTTAAAGCACTAACTTTCAAGTTCACACACACACAAATATTACATATTTTACACAAAACTCGTTTCGAATGCAGCTCACACAGGCTTTGTGCATTGGCCTAGGCTGTTGTTTCTTTTAGCGCCTACAACACAATAAACAAAAATCATTTGTATTTGTTGTAAAGTTGGTCTGCAATGCAAAGGTATATTAACAGCACCTTCGTACCACATTTGTAAATTGTCCGTAGTTCGTGGTTAGCCACTCAGTTTTGTTATTTTGATCGTCTTGTTTAGCCATTCAAGACTTCACTTTGCTTGAGTTTATGGCTGGACAGTGGGAGAGACGCCCACACAACAATTAACCTTTATTGAAGTGTATCTGTAGCATTACGTATGGACTTGCTTGCGAATTCTTCGCCAACTGCAATTGCGCAAAAGTGCCTGACTGAGCAAACGGAGTGTCACAAATGTGTATCACACACACGCACACACACTCACACGCACACGATCAATTTGTAGCTGAAAATCGAAGCGAAACCAAATCAAAACTCAAATTCCAAAACACAATTAAAGTGCGAAGCGTTGAATCTCATTTAGAAAATGCAATTTCAAGTTCAAATCGAAAATCGACAACTATTTGGCCGTACATCACTCATACGCCGCATAGGCGCTGCCGCTGGGGCGACCTGTGCACTGACCTTCCGACAATTAATCGAAAATGTTGCACGCCGCCAATTACGGCAAGCAGCATTACACTGTTTTTGTATTTTTGGCAATTGAAATGCGCGTGCCACAAATCGACATCGAAATTGAAATTGAAAACGAAAACGAAAACAAAGCGAAACAGTATTGATCTGTACATCATCTTGGTTTGCCTTAAATTGTGGAACTGGGGCAAGCATCTCATATCCCTAAACAGGGAGGGTGTTTTTGGCCTCACTGGCATTGACACTGATACGCTCATGCCCGAGCTGATCATTCGTAAAATTGGCTAGCGATCGCTATCGTAATCGCAATCGGACTCGCACTCAGCGTTCGCCTACGGATTCCCCTTTGCGTATAAATATGCGACGCATGCCTCGCAGTTTGTCAAACAACGAGACGCGTTCGACAGTCGCGCATTTCCAGCGAACACACACGCACACAGAGAAGTGAGACGAGTAAGTGAGTGCTTGAGCGGATTAGAATGATGAGCCGTGCGCTGTTACTGCTGCTGTTGGCGCTCGTTGGCGCCAGCCATGCGGCGACACATGTCAACATCTCCATAGCCCAGCAGCCAGCCACAAATCCGGCTGATGTCACCATCATTGATGGAGAGGCGCCGGCTGAGCTGAAGGCGGGCCCGTACAGAATGCAGCAGGAGCAACGCTTTGCCAGATTGCAGGAGCGACCACAGCAGCAGCAGCAGCAACAGTTGCAGCCACAGCAGTCGCAGCAGCAACAGCAGCAAATGCAATCACAGCAGCAACCACTGACTCCGCGCCAGGGTTTGGGTCTGCAGCCTGCTCAACCTGTTGCCGTCAATCCCAATGCTCGCATGCCACGTCGTCGTATGCACAGTCGTCGTCCTTCCTTGTATCAACAGCCGCCGCACAGCGGACAATTCCGCCAGCGCAACCAGCAACTGCGTCAGAATCAGGAGTTCGAGCGTTACATTCAATCCTATCATAGCCAAGGACCTACCGTGGAAACTGTAAGCTGGAGACATTTGTGGTTGCGAATCTAGTTTCACTATAAGTTTTACTTTACTGCCCACAGGTCTTTGAATCCTCCAGTCCTTCGCCTCAGCGCTATACTCAATCCAGCAGCAGCAGCAGCTCTAGTTCCAGCTCCTTAGCTGACGACGATGCTGTGTCCATTGGTGGCAGCAAATCCCAGCAGCTGCGCATGTTTGAGCGTCAGGTAGTTGCGCCTGCAGCTCCACAGGGCCAGAGTGCCAACGT